ACACCAAACTCAAATTTTTATATATCCAATTATTTTTAAAATAATCCAAACAAGCAGATTTTAGCCATTTAGAGCCTGCCTGCTTTACACATTCTGTGAAACCTTACCTAGCATCTGTTGGCCGTTGATAAGATAGAGCTTTGTGGTTTTAAGACCCCAAGCTGCTACTGCCCTTCAAAGTTCTCTGACCTAGAGACACTCCACCATGCGCAAAGTGACATCGCTTACTCCTGAGCCCTCTTTCCAATGCACCTCTCCCCTGGGAGCTCCTTTGCCATCCTCCCCTTCTGCATGGTAGCCTCCTCACCCTAAGCCTCTGGATGCCCTCCCATGCAACCCCATACAAAGCACCACTCATTAAAGCTTGTTGTGTGTTACTGCCTCTTGTGGGCCTGTGTTTTACCTAGATCAACCTTAAATCCTTCCAACAAACCCCTTCTATACAGTAGTACCTTGACACAACTAAGATTTTATGAAAGCCAGTGTATGAACCTGCAGAACTAAAGAATCACCCTATGTTACCTTACACATAGAGAGGACCTTTCTACTCTTTATCCTTTCTTTTTCCTTTTGGATACCAAATAGTTGTATACATTTTTAAATGTTTGATATTTGTAAAGAGCTTGTGTGTAATATAGATTTGCTTGGCTTCACATATATTTGTCCTTCCTATATATGTATTATACTGGGAAAAATTATGAAGCTCTTTTAGACTGCAAAGATCACAGATATTGTTAGGTTTTTAATAAAAGTAATTATAATGCCTAAAATGCACTGAGCACTTACTGTGTGTTGGGCAATGTGTTACGCTCTTTACATGTAGTGTTAGTCATCACCACAACCAATGAGGCTTGTGTTTTTATTCACATTTTATGTGTGCAGAAAGTGGACTTAGAGAGATTAATTGCCTCACTTAGAGTCACACTGATGATGGCAGAGCTCAGATATGAACCCAGTTTTTCAGATGCATTCACCCATGACCTGCTCTTATGCGTTACTCCTCAGTAAATGAGAAGCTTTTCTACAGGTAGACACAGGGAAGTAAGCAAACAGTCTCAGCAGGCAAAAAGGAGAAGGGAAGATGATTCATCAACATTCAGGACTCAACAGCATTGTTGCTAGTCCTGTGGCTGCTGTACAGACCTAACACCGTTCCACTGGGGAACCATGCAAGTGGCAAAATCATCTCTGCCTTAGCCTCCTCGTAACTTTTTCTCCTTGTCTTTCTCCTCTTCCTTTTTCCTCATGGCTTCTACTGCTTCTTGGCCCTTTCTGTTTGTATTTCTACTTCTCTGTTTCTGTATCACTCTCTGGCCTCTAGGTTCTCTCCAAATGACTTCCAGTTACATTTCCCTAGATAAAGTAGATGGTTGTGTTGTCTAGCCCCATCCGTTAGTGATAAGTACACACCAGGGCACCTCACCATGGAGGCTCATGGCCAGCCCTCAACTGTCTGCCTTTGAATTGGGCACCAGGCCCTGGTTCATAGAGCTGGGCCAGCATCACATCCTACAAACGATGGAAATTTTATATAAGTTCCCATAGAAGGAGGCCATAAGTGGGACTTGAACTTATAGGCTTCAATGAAAGAAGGCAATGGAAGCCCAAAGTTTTCCTAAGATCTGTCTGGCAAAAAATCATGTAATTTTTCTAAGAATTTTAATGTGTCTAAAATGAAAATTTTAAGATTATATGATTAAAACTTCAGCAGATAGAAGTATTTGCTAAGAGTAATTCTAGCAATAAATATGCAAGATAAGAATTCTATGCATACTGGAAAAATTCAAACGTACTTTTTTCATCAGTGTGCTTGATTAGATCAGGACATTAAATTTTGGGAACAACAATAGAGCTGTACATAACATTTAATTAGTTTTCTTAGTCTTCTATATTCATAAACATTTACTAAGTATGTAAGCAGGCAGAATTTTATGTTTCCATACATTATCAGTGAGATTATAAGTAAGATAAAAGTTCTGTATACTTCGCTTCCAGTCCTTTAAAATCTTAACTTTTCATAGTGTAGCAGATACTCAATAAATGACCTGGCCTAGTTAATCAGCTCTGCTGCCAATTGAGAAGAAAGAACAAAATCAAAGAATCTTTTCTATAAGCATGGAGTCCAGGGGAAGTAATACTATTTCTTTAATGCCTTACACCTTATTTTATATTTTCTGGATTAAAATAATGGATTGCAATTATGAAATTTTAGGTCATTCTCTTTGTTTCCTTCCACGCAGATGTCAGCTATGCCTTTCACCAGAATCAAATATACGGATTTAGGGGAAAAAAAAAATCTTTGGCTTACTTTCAGTTTGTCTTTTTTTGTGTGTGTGAGGGTTTTGCTATGAGGGTTTCACTACTGCATTTGAAATTTGGGCCCATTTTACTTTTACATGGAATTAGGCTGTAGAACCCTAATTAAGTTAATGAAAGATGACAAAAAACTAAGGAGCCTGTGAAGAGGGGGATCAATTCTATCCTTGTTAGTAGTTAAATTTTAGAAGTGATTTCTTTGTCCTGTCAGCCTATGAGAACTGGGTCTAGAGAAATTAAATGACTTCATCCCCATTACTTCTCAGCTGGGTAATGGCTTAATACTATAAAATTAAAAGCTGGTAACCTTTTGAAGCTTTCAAATATTTGTGTAAGTGGTATATCTGAGTTAAGTTGATTTTTTATATGTGACTTTTTAATTGAAGCTCATGGTTATTCTGTGCATGTGTACACACACACACAGTGTCTTACAGTTGACTTTAATGTGATAAATAATTTCCAGAAATGATCAGCTGGTGGAATTGGTTAACAATATGACTGTTTCTCTTTGTACTTGCAGGATAAACCCCTCCCAATGCTTTGTTCAAGGCATTTTGACCTCATCATTTTCTTCTTTTCTAACTTTAACTCATAGAAATCCCAAGGGATCAGGAACCCATTTTGAGAAATATGTCAGCAACTTATGAAATATAGGAAACTAACCAATTAGTGTCAGCTTTTCTCTTGAGGGAAGAAGATAGGAAAACTTAATATATACTACAGAGGTTACTTTAGGAGATTCACTACTGGTAGTACATTGTATAAATTATCATTTTCGACAAAGCTGAAACAAATCATAACTTTTTTCCTGTTTTGATGTTCAGTATATTCGAAAAGCTTTTGAATTTATAAAGTATCTTTGGAAATTTATAGGAATGAAGAATTTACTAAATGTAGTACATTTAATCGGAAAACCAAATGCAACTCTAATACAATCTCTAGGTGTTTTATGGATTTTTTTGTATACCTAGTCTTTCAGAGGCTCATTGGTTTCTATTATTTTTTGTGATGTGAATTTAATTAGTTTTAATACAGATTTAAAATTTAATAAACAGGTGATTACCTACCATCTTTTAAGCAGCATGCTAGGGGCAAAAACACAGACCGTGCTCATGTATTCCTTATGTGCACCCTGTGAGGAATTATCCCAAATTTTCAGATAAGAGTCACAAAAACTATGACTCATCCATAAGTATGTGACTAATCACTGGCATTGTAGGGATTATAAATCAAGTCACGTGACCCTCAAATCTATTTTGCTTCTCAACAAAATTAGTTTATAAGAAGAAAATCCTGAAAATACTACCATGCACTCATTCTTTTGATTGTTGGAAGATCAATAGTCTGATTCAGTAAAGGAAGATTTGTTGCTGACTCATTAAAGAAAGGTGATGCAGTGTGTTAGTCAGACCAGCAAGCAGATGAACCCTGACACCTTGTCTGTGGAAAAATGTCATGACTTTTAGTAAAGTTGTTTTTTAACTTCCAAGCCTCAGTTTCTTCGTCTCCCTTACAATGGTAATAAAACATATTTCGTAGGGTTGTAGCAAGAAGTGGTTACAATAGTGAAGTTATTAGCAGAATACTCAGCAGATAGTACTGATTTTTGGTAACTGTTGGTAGTAGTAATAGTGGTGAGTTAGGAAGGTAATAAATCAGTTAAAGATGCTGATTGTTGTGTTCAGGAACATATGAAAACTTTGTTATTAATAAAATGATATTGATCTCACTCAAGATTTTTAGTGGCAAATGGCCCTTGAATAATAACTAAAACTATGTGATCCTTTAAGATAGTCTAAAATATGGAGCCAGATTGGAACATTTTCCAATTATGTCCATATTTTGATAACTGTTGCTAATAGATTGGGGATAGTGGCATGAATAAGTTCTAGACAGTCAGAGTCCCAACCCTTTTAAAAAAATGTGTATATACCAATAATTGTATGTATTTTTTGAATCATTGAAAAACATTTATACAATTAATTTATGGCAGAAAGGTTTGGCTTTTAAAGCCATTATTGGTGCAAGGACTCTCAATTAGGAATATACTAGATCAATCTTCAGTTACACACACATACACACATATGTATCCAATTAAAGATTGATTGCATTAAAATAAACTGAAGTTTTCACAAAATCTAGGCATAATCACAGTTTTAGTTTTTATTTCCTGTAAATATTTTTAAATGCTTCTCCATATAGTCTTGGTCAAGAAACATCAAAGTGTTTAAAGGGGATAACCTTGAATATTTGTCTGTATGCTGTGAATTCATCAAAGTAAGAAGAACTTTGTGCAAAAACACGAATTTTAAATATAGTATTTGCAGATTTAATCTGTTATGAAAATGGATTAGATAAATGTAGAAATGGTTCATGCTTTTAAGATAAGCTAAATTGCTGTTGTTGGGAACTGACTCTTGAAAATGTCATTTGTATTAAACAGGATTAAATGGACTCAAAAAAGAAGACTTTCCATTTGTAAATATAAAAGGATAGTGTGTATGTGTAAGAGCATGTTTATATGAGCGTTTGTGTTCTGGTTTATTTATATAATCATCACCCTTTTACTTATCTTTTTAACTAGTGAATTTTCATGTTTTAACCTTTGCTCTTTAATATATTACCTATTTTGTAACAAAACACCTCCATTCAAATTATAAACATATTTTTATTTTTTTTCTCAGATGATGAAACATGCTTGGAATAATTATAAAGGTTATGCCTGGGGATTAAATGAACTGAAACCTATATCAAAAGAAGGCCATTCAAGCAGTTTGTTTGGTGAGTAGATGTGCTTTGGTTTCTTAGTGACAGTAACTTCTCCCTAGTTGCTTGAGCTTATGGGTGATGGAGAAGTCTGTGTAATATGGCCCTCCAGGCCATTTGGTTAGGAAACTTGCACACCTGATGGAATTAGATAAAAACTGTGCATAGTATGTCCTTTGGCTAGAATAGTGGCTGCGTGTTAGAATAACCTGCATAACATTAAAAAGTACTGATGCCTGGGGCATACTTCCAAAGATTCTCACTTAATGGGTGTAGGGTGCAGTATCAGGATTTTTAGCCTCTGGGGTGATTCCCAGCTAGAAGCACTTGGTGGGCTGCACTAACTGCTTCCTGTTAGGTAAAAGCTGTGCCTTTATAGATAAGCCAGACAAGGCAACCAGCCATGGTGATCTTCACTGTATCTCAATTTTGGCTGTAGGTTTGTCCTGTTTGTACCATGGAAGAGAAAGTGAGGATGGATTAGGTTACTTGAACTTCCATTTATCCACTTTCACTTGCTTTATTACATTTGGTTCCCACAGCAGCCCTCTGTGGTTGCTACTGTGAGTGTTAATAAGATTCCATTGTGGACGTTAAGGAAGCTAAGTAACACAAGGGTTTCATGGATTATTTGGGTCACAGAGCTGCCTAGTATCCTCCTACTACATTTGATTTCTTTCTAATCCTCAAAATTTTGTCTGTAACTAGCACGAGGAAGGGAATGCAGTATTACTCTGGAACTTCTGAATTTAACAATAGAACACATAACTCTGTATTTTAACTGAAAATGTTAAATAACATCAACTCACATAACAGGTAACAGTGTCAGCTCACATTTATGGAGCAATTACTGTGTGCCAAGTGCCATTCATGCATTATCTCATTTGGCCTCATTAAAATACACACTTTATAGATGAGAAAAATGAGGCCCAAAGAACAGTTTTCCCAGAGATAGCCACCTACTAACTGGCAGAGCAGAGACTTGAACCCTGGTGTGGCTAACATTAAAGTCCACGCTCCTAATCATGACAATATGCTTTTCCATTTATTTAGGACCTTCCATGTGTTTGGCTTTGCTTGTAGCACTGGTGATCATAAAATAATACAAGTTTTTGCACAGGTCTCTACACAAGTCTTTGCCTGGTATACAACATATAATATGTAAATAGTAAATTATCAGTGCACCAGGTGGTTCAATATACAGTTCCTTGAAGTTCTGATGAAACATTAGGACGTCAGGTTGGGAGAAGGGCATTGCAAGGTTTGCAAGAACAGGTAGAAAGAGCTGGAAAAAGTAGAAGAAAGGAGACTGTTGGTCTATCAGAGTGACACAGTTTTGAGGTGAAGAGAGCCTGTACCTGAAGTGGTGGCAGTAGATGTCACTTCAGACATTTCCAAAATAGTGCTTTTAGGACCCAGCTAGAGTTAACATGGGTAAAGAGAAGTATGAATTGAAGAGAGAAACTCTAGAACTTCATCCAGAGCCTTTGTTTTTTCATTGTTTAACATTTTTTGAAAAAATTATAACTTCATTTCACTTTTATCTCTATGAAAGTCATTCATACCATTAAGAAATCAGTTATGTGTTAAATTGCCATAATCTTTATCAAAGGGATTATTTGATTCTCTGTTAAAACATTGATTACTTTAAAATTTATTATTTAACATGAAAAACATACTAGGTCTCTTAGGCCTGACTTTTGTTTTATATTTCTCATTGACTTTTTCAGTAAAAAACACTTTCATAATCAAGATAAAAACTTACTCTTAGAAAAAGAGCTTCAGGTATTAGTATAAGGAAAGGAAATATTAATAATTCAAATGATATTTAATCTCATTCCATATTCAAATTAAAATAAGATACATAGTGATTTTCTTATCATAGAAATACCAATATAGTGAGACTTGTTACAAAGACATACAAAGTATTCATTTTTACAGAAAAGAAAAACTTTTAAATGACTTCTTTAGCCCACTTCTCAGCCAAGTTCCTTATCTATGTAATATTGTAGTCCTGTATATTCGCTCAGCAAACCAGGCAGAAGATAGGAAAAGGTAAGTTCTTTACCACCTGGCTTCTTGGGAAATAGTTGTTAGTTTGAGATAAGTTGTTTTGAGTTTTAACCTTAAAAAAAAACCTTTTTGGAGAAACTATTAGGCATTCTGAATCTGAGTTTTCCCAGGTGTTGGCCACTGGGGAGCTCTTCAAATATGCTTCCTTCTAATGGTGGTTTCTCACCAGTTATGTTGAACCTTCCATCTCTTTCCTAGACAGAGTAAGACTGGTTACTTCCAAACAACTTCAGTGAATATAAAAAGGCATCTTAATTATTCATCTCCCAATTCCATCTTAAACAGGAAACTAGAACTGTTATTTCAAGATTTCGTTGGTAAAAAAGATTTCAAGCAAAACTGCATCTCAAAGAGAGGTATTTTGTGCTTGACCAGTTATACTCATGGAAAGCTAAAATACAGGAAATCAAAATATTTACTTAAGGCTCTTGATAACCTAGAAATGAAATGTCAGTGAAAATATGACGCTGGTATCATATTTCAAAATGCCCACTTTAAAATATTCCCTCCAGTGTCTCTGAATCCATAATTCTAGCTTCAAAAAAGTTCAAGGAAATTGGATTACGGTAAAATATGTCACAAAATGAAAGTGTCTTCAGGTTTCTTTCTCCTTATTAGATAAGATTTATATTGTTGTCTTTTTGAAAATCAAGTTTTTTAATGTTTAGTATCACTTACAGTTTTCTAATGATAACTTCTCAACGTGGCATTTGGAAGGCATGTGCCAGTAAAATAATTTTCATTTATATTTGTAGATTTCATCTTGGATTGTCCAGAATACTAATTATGTATAGGAAGCGTAGTGCCCAGTCTTTCAGCAGCCGTTCATTGTGTACCTGAGTGGAGGCTCAGCTGCTTGCCACTTGCATAGCCCATAACAGGGATGAAGTGCAGAGAAAGGAAAGTGACTTTTATTTCCAAAGCTGGCAGTGGCTGGCTTACTCCTCCAGAAACTGCTTAAAACTTTGGCCTAGGAAGAGGGTCTTAAAAATGGAACTTGGACTGGGAGGCATGTGGGAAGGGTGCCTGAGTATAAGGTCTGCCTATCTTGTTCTGGTGGCTATCTCTAGCCATGGTCCACCCGGTGTGCGGGCTCGCGTCATAACAACAATAGCTGGGCTGCTGACTTAACTGCCTTGAGGTAGTCTCTGAAATTTTACAGCTGGGTCTCCATGCTTGATCAGTCTCAAGAGTAGCCCCTGGAACCTCAAAGTAAGCATATAATTAGATCTACGTATACAGTTACGTAAATGCACATGGGGCAAAACGTAATGAGAAAGGGAAGGGAGTAAAGTTTCAAAGCATGTTTCAAGGGCATATTTTAAGACTAAGGAAAAGGTTTCTAAAGTTTGTTTCAAGATTACATCTTGAGACTGGAAGAAAAGACAAAGAAAAACATTTAAAATGTGTTTTGTGAAGCTTAATTACCCAATTACAATTGAGCATCATTGTCACAATTGCACAGGACACCGTAAGGAATCTGGAGATAAGTAAGACATGACTTGTTCGTTCTAAGTGTGTAGGCTGAGTGCTTGGCTCATGCCTCTAATTCCAGTACTTTGGAAGGCTAAATGGGGGCAGGTGGTTGCTTGAGGCCAGGAGTTTGAGAACAGCCTGAGAAACATAGCAAGACTCATCCCTACAAAAAAATTTTAAAAATTAGCCAGGCATGGTGGCACACACCTGTAGTCCCAGCTACTCAGAAGGCTGAGGCAGGAGGATCAGTCGTGCCCAGGAGTTTGGGTCTGCGGTGAACTATGATTGTGTCACTGTACTCCAGCCTGGGGAACAGAACAAGACTGTCTCAAAAAAAAAAAAAAAAAAAAAAAAGTGGGCAGACACAGTGGTTCATGCTTGTAATCCCAGAACTTTGTGAGGCTGAGGCAGGTGGATCACGAGGTCAGGAGTTCGAGACCAGCCTGACCAACATGGAGAAACCTTTCTCTACTAAAAACACAAAAAATTAGCTGGGCACAGGGTTGTACGCCTATAATCCCAGCTACTCAGGAGGTCGAGGCAGGAGAATCGCTTGAACCCAGGAGGTAGAGGTTGCAGTGAGCTGAGATTGCACCACTGGATTCCAACCTAGGTGACAGAGTAAGACTCTGGCTCGAAAAAAAATGTTTATAGACATTAAAAGATGCCCACATGTAATTTTAATACAAGGTAGAAGGTGATAAATGCCAAGGCAACATGAAGTCTCCATGTCATTGGAATTCAGAGGAAATAAACCACAGAGGTCAGAATTTGTAGGGGATGGAGGGCAGTTAGCACCAGTCAGATTTTATACAGGGGGTGAAATTTCATTTTGGAGTAATGTCTTGTTAGAACTCTCACTAAACAATTTTAGATCTAGTTAAGAGTCTTCCACAGGTACACTTTGATGTAATTACATTAACCTTAATAAGTCTGTTGCTCCTTGGTTTCAGGCCTATTCTTTTCCTGCTAGAGAATGTAATCACAAATGAAATTTCTCACAGAAATTTCTAAGACATTTATTTTTTATAACTCAGAAGAAACTTCAAAGATTACTGTATCAGTTTATAGCCTGTGGTAATTTTTAGTTTGGTTTGGTGCCATTTTATATATTCTTCCACTGAAAGAATTTTAGACTATGTTTAATATTACTGCTTATTAATAAATCCAGCGTTACCCTCTCCGTTTCCTAGGTATGGTCAATTTACATTTATTTTATCTATTCAAAGTATTTTATCAAATATTTTTCTGATATTTCAGGTAACATCAAAGGAGCAACTATAGTAGATGCCCTGGATACGCTTTTTATTATGGAAATGAAAAATGAATTTGAAGAAGCAAAATCATGGATTGAAGAAAATTTAGATTTTAATGTGGTAAGTTAAATAAGAGTTACTAATTCAGTCCTTAAATTCCAATTAATGTGGATAAATTCTGTAGTGGGCTCTATTATTGTATTGTAATGTATTCTAACAAAAATAATGCAACTTTACATAGTAAGAATATTATTATCAGATACTACATTCTTAAATTGTCCTCGTTACTACACAAATTTGTGTCTTTGTTTTTTGGCAAATTAAAGGTAAGAGAAAAGGAATTAGTATTTGTTGAGACCTACGTGTGCCTAGTATTCTTGTTCAAGTCCCACGGCAACTCTGAGATGGGCATTACTTGCACACCTTTATAGATTAAACATCTGAACCTCAGAGACTTACTCCAGACTACACAGCTGGTTGTATATCAGGAGCTATAATTCTAATGTAGGTCTGTAGGGCTCCGGTGCTTATGCTTTTATACTGCATCATGACATATCCAGCAGCAGCAGCAGCATTCATTTTCCCATGAAGAAGGCTTCAAATTTTGTTGGTCTTATATACCTCTCAGTAAAAACAAATTGATTATATATGTTATTTTTTAAACATTCTATATATATGCTGTCATTCTTAGCAAATATTTCAAGTCCCATTGTACACTGAGGGAAAGAATCAGAATTAATGAATACTTCTAATACTTCTTGATCACTTCTACTAGGGAGGACTACTTCTTATCAGCTCTTATTTGATAGTCATTGTTTTACTTTATAATGATATTGACAAAGAACTTATTCTAAAAAGTGTATAGGCCACGGAATTTTTTAGTCATTCATTTAAGTGTACATTATCGGTATTATTTCCAATCTGAGACTACTTTGCAGAAATTCTCGTAAGCCTCTTGTCTTGGGTAAGAATTTGATAATATCTGTAAATCCCAATCATCATGCACAAGTAACATGCTGTACATTAAAAGTGGACAGAGAGAATTTCCCTGCTGTTGCTTCTGCTTTGGGCACTCTTGTTCTCTCAGAGACCAAGTGAGGACACCAGTGGTAGGCAGAATATTAAGGATCAGTAAAGCTAAGTCTTTCCCCCATCTATTTCAATTAAAAACTTACATAAATTAAAAGTTTAATATTTTTTTCTACTCCCCTAATTAACTGCTATATATACTGCATTTGGGAGACTTTAAAGACAGGCAGATGAGTCTGTGTTTAATTTGCCTAATAATTGAATCTAGAATATAAAGGAGACAAAGTTCCAATCAGTATTAAGGGACCTTGGGGAATCAATGTGTTAAACCCTTCTATTTCAAATAGAAGAGAACAGGCATAAGGAGCTAGTGATTTGCTCAAGGTTATGAAGCTATTTGATTAGAATGATCTGTGGTAGTGCTGGTATTATTGATAGAGCAGAAGATGAAAAATAAAACAATGGAAAAACTATGTTTCATTTTGGAGGCTTGCTCCCTTAATAATAATACTTCTGTTGGCCGGGTGTGGTGGGTTATGCCTGTAATCCTAGCACTTTGTGAGGCTGAGACAGGCAAATCATGAGGTCAGGAGTTCAATATCAGCCTAGGCAACATGGTGAAAATAAAAATAAAAAATTAGCTGGGTGTGGTGGTGCAAGCCTATAATCCCAGCTGCTCACGAGCCTGAGGCAGGAGAGTCAGTAAAAATATGTCTCTACTAAAAATACAAAAATTAGCTGGGCATGGTGGTGCATGCCTATGATCCCAGCTACTCAGGAGGCTGAGGCAGGAGAATCACTTGAACCCAGGAGGCCGATGTTTCAGTGAGTCATGATCACGCTGCTGCACTCCAGCCTAGGTAGCAGAGCAAGACTCCATCTCAAAAATAATAATAATAATAATATTTCTGTTTGACCTTGTTATTATAAATAAATTCAACTACCTACCTTCAAAAACCTGCAGGCTTATCTTTAGCTATATATGAGACTGATTGATATCTCTGTCTTCAAGAAAGGGTAGGGGAATAATAACTAAATTCCTCCAAACCTAATGATGGAAAACTGGAAAGCAAACTTTAATAACATTTGACTTATCAATAGTATCCAAGTTTCTTACTGAATGTTTGGGTGGTCCATTTGATAAATATAGCATTGTGGCCCCAAACCTCCTCAAATGTAACAGCAGTTTTTAGTTTCATGGCCTGTGTGACCTGTGATAGTCTGAACTTGGGGCCAGGGGTTGGGGTTGGTGGAGGGTGAGCAGCAGTTTTATTTAAAATGACTAAGTACAAAGAGAACAGAAAGGATGTTATTGTAACAGAAGGCAGTTAGCTTTCCTCAGACCACCACAGGTTGCCTGGAATGTATTCCATGGGTCCTGGGGACCTGTGAGAAGGAAAGATGAATAAATCTAAATAGAGGATATGAGACTATGTAGAAGAGAAAAAGAACTTACTGGGTTTCCTTACTTGTAAGATGAAGAGATTAGCCAGGCGTCCCCAAACTACGGCCCACGGGCCCTGAGGCCATTTATCCGGCCCCCCACAGCACTTCAGGAAGGGGCATCTCTTTCATTGGTGGTCAGTGAGAGGAGCACAGTATGTGGCGGCCCTCCAACGGTCTGAGGGACAGTGAAGTGGCCCCCTGTGTAAAAAGTTTGGGGATGCCTGGATTAGACTAACATTGAATTATTGCTAAGATACAGAACTCTGAAGTTTTCTTTGTTTATTTAAATTTTTATTTTTAAATAAAATTTTTTTCAATTAGTATTCAGACTTTTGAATATATATTTTAGGCCTGTTAATGATAGTTTTAGGCTATACCTTTCAAGATATAATTTTAAAATATACTTCTAAAATATGTACAACCATTATGTATTCATAAAGTTAAATATATATATTTTAAAAAATTATAGCCACATTTCTCAAATATCTTTATTATACTATTTTCTTAATATAAGAGGTCTTGAAAAGTATTTGTTGCAGGTCTCTCTGGGAATTATCATGTTTTCCCATGTTGTCAACAATATCCAAACGATAATGTTTCCCATATTAAAAACAGTAACATATAAATTCAGGAAAGGTATATTGATTCACTTTTCTAATCACTGTGTTATGAAGTTTTTCAGCTTACTATATTCTAGTTAGTTTTAATATGTCACATGAGAATTTGTCTTATATTCACCCATTCTATTCAGAAATCCAAATGATCATTTTTTTTTAATTACAGAATTTTTCTTCAAAAACATTGAGAAGTTTTTCCCATTTATATGAAGAAAGGAGAAACTGAAAAGACCTTAGCAACAAAAGAAAAATTATACTAAATAACATGTAGTATCATTCTAGTTTATAAATATTATTACTTATATTTAAGTTAACACTTTTTCCTGAGGAAGTATTCTAACTGACAGTGTAAGGGGATTATAAAAAAAAAAAAATTAATGCATCTAAATTTATTGCAAAGGGAAAATAAAAATCAAACAAAGACTGTTGTTGACCATTGGTCTATCCTGGGCATCCCCAGACTTTTTACACAGGGGGCCACTTCACTGTCCCTCAGACCATTGGAGGGCCACCACATACTGTGCTCCTCTCACTGACCACCAATGAAAGAGGTGCCCCTTCCTGAAGTGCGGCGGGGGGCCAGATAAATGGCCTCAGGGGGCCGCAGTTTGGGGATGCCTGGTCTATCCTATGGTGCTCCAAAGTGTAAACAAATTTTACAGTCAAGAATAAATTTGTTAATGTGAAATATTTAGTTTATATCACTGAAAAGTATAAAGGAAATGTTTTCTATTGGTTTATAATGTAATTAACTAAAACTCATTTTCTTTTCATTGGGGCATAGGAAGTTGATTCATTTTGCATAATTGATAACACAAAATTCAAATGACTAATAACTGGCTTAAAATAAGTCACTAGGATAATGTGTTCTGGGGAGTAAGGAGCAAGGACTTCGCAGAAGGAGCTTGTGTTCAGTTCAAGTATCTAAAGGCATATAGATGTTGGCAGAAAACCCTAAGTGTTGACTCCATGAAAAAGTTTTCTGATTTTAATTCAAAGTAATCTTAGGACAAAGAATCTGAAACTAATTCTTAGTCACTCTTCATTCACTTATGTATTATTTACTAGGTATCTTCTAAGGATCAGCATTTACCCTTAGGAGGGTTCTAGTCTAACAGGAAAGTAGTCAGAGAACCCTAGCTAGAGCCATGATATCTCAGGAGAGAAGAAATGAAAGAGGAAACTACTATTTGGTTCACACCTATAATCTCAGCACTTTGGGAAGCCCAGGTGGGTGGATTGCTTGAGCCCAGGAGTTCAACACCAGACAGGGCAACATAGTAAGACCCTATCTTTATTTTTTTTTAAAAAGGAAACTACTATTTAGTAAAATAATAGTTTTTTTCTTTAATGTAAAGATCATTTTTTTTCTTTAGTGTAAAGATCCAGATTGTTTGCATATGATCCAGATTGATGCATAGCAGGTATTATGATAGGCAATTTTTTTCATGGGTTATATTGTTTAAGTCTTTATGACAACCGTACAGAGTAGTAACTGGTATTTTTCCCTATGTTTATAGATGAATAGGTGGTTAATTAGTCTGCCCCAAATTATACAGCAAGATCTGTGGTTTCAACACAGTCTTCCTAACTCAAAGACCCTGTGTTTTTTTAATCGGAGAAGAAATACAAAGAGTTGAGAAATATATAGGGCAGCCAGAGAATTTGAGTCCTCGGAGGTAAGGCATGTAATCTTAATATTAGAGTACTTGTTAGAGTTTATAGTTCAATAGAGATTTGATAAATGTTTGTTAAATGAATGAGAAATTAAGCCATCTTATCCTACTTCCTGACAGCCTATGCTATACTCAGCTGGAAGATGAGCTCAGTTGCAAGGGTAGCTGTATTGTGTCATATGTGTATAGAGTTAGAGATAATCTGGAGTTCAAGTCAACTGGTCTACCTGTTACTGCCTAACCTGTTTCCAGAACAGATTTGTAGTGGCCCCTGATAACAGGAACATCAGTTGCAGAGGAACAAATGATCAAGGGTTTCCCATAAGAACAAATGATCAAGGGCTTCCTATTT